ACGAGGACTTAGTGCGCAATTTCCCGTACGTAGAAAACGAGAAATTTAATCAAGGTCGTTAAGATCCATCTTTTTGATTGATGTTCTTCATGGGTTGCATATTGATGCGAGAATCGATTTGTGGGTATATCAGTGCGAGTACTTTGGTGCAATCGGTGTGTCATAACTGACGCACGTCCGTTCCTACATCTACATCTGTTCATAAGCTATGAATAGGAGCATTCAGATCGCGATCCGTGAGAATATTAAGGTAGTGAGATGCGCGCCCAAGAGATCCTCGCTAATCATGACTGACCTTCGTGCGAACGATCGTGACGATGGAATCGGTGCTCGACTGTGCTCGACGCGATGCAGTGGACAGATATATATATATACATAGATTCAGAAGATCTAAACACCTTCTTCTTGTAGATCTCTCAGCGTTTGCCCCTTTTTCTCAGAATCCGGGAAATATCAAAGACAACGTAGAGAAGCATCTAGCCGTGTCTGCGTTTGCGCCATCGCTTATTCATCGCACGTTTATCGATGACGAGAGCCCTTCCTTCAACCATAAATCGTGATATTATAAGCCGAAGTTATCTTGAATGTGGCTCGACTGCAAAAAGTATAAGGGGATTAGATAGGTTGCTCGTGTTAGAGAAATCCATTTAGGAACAAGGAGAAATATAAGACGGGGATCCTCTTTAGCATTCATTAATTTTTTTAGCTCGTTAGTTTTTACGAAATTGAAGAACTGCTTACTGTCACTAGTTTTAACTTTATTTTTGCGTTTCTTATTTGTTATTTATGTATGTATTTTATACTTAATAATTGATAGATTAAAAGAGTGACAATTCTTTTTCTCATAATAAATTATGAAAATAATTGTGACTGAGTGAAGGAGCATGAAAAAAATTATAAATTGTCTAAATCTGTTTATTTTAGATAATTTATAATTTTTTCGTGCTTCTCCAATCAGTCACAATTATTTTTGAATACATCAAATACGATAGAGAACGCCAAGATTGGTCAAATTTTTTGGATGTTACAAATAATACATTATAAATTCTTTTATTAAATCAATATTTTTGAATATATTTCATACAGCATAAATCTCGATGTTCTAGAAGAAGACGTTTCTACGTCTTAAAAATATTGTCTCTTGGATAAAGTACGTTGTGTAATAATTATGTTTCGTGCATAACGATTTATTATATGAAACAAGCATAAAGATATACATAACTTAGTGAGACACGATTCTAATTGTAAGTCTGTTAACTGGGGCAACAGAATGCTGAGGAAACTAGAATCCTTTATATGTTGAAGCTTTGTGTAGTTTCATCATTTAAATTATTTTCTCTTATCTTTTTTCTTAGATTTTATAATAATTTCTTTAAGGATTAAAACGTAATTTCCAAGATAATTATATTTTTTGTTAAACTTAAAAAATGATATTTCGATCAATTATATCCCGTATATAAATAAACGATACAAATTTTTCAAAAATAGCAAAAAATTAAAATCACATGTTTACTTATTTTAGTAAGACAATTTATTAATAATATTTATTTAAAATGTTAATAATATTTATTATGTATAATAATTATGTATTAAATTTAATAATATTTATTTATTAATTATGAATGATATGGAAACACTGTTATTAATTACAAATCACACAAACAGGTGAAACGTTGGTTAATGTTGCGAAATCACTTGCTTGCCAAATTTAGTACTGATTTTGTAATTTGATTTCGGCAAATGGGAATTACCGTAACAAAGATTCAGTAAGGATTTAAACTTAGGACGCGCAGATGTCATGGGTGCTTTATAAGGAAACTGTTTAGAGAAATCCAAATCTTGATTACGATGAATTAAAGTGCTGTCTTTGTTCCATTCTCATCGTTCGTTCTGACAATTCTTATTCCAGGATCAACATTAAATTCACGCTGATAACTCCAGGACTGCTTCTTTTCAGCAGCTATTCTGATGCGTCTTTGTAAAAGAATGAATAACGATTAGTGAATTTATAAAATTATGAATAAAGTTTAGTGATTAATATAATATATGTCTATGAATAAATCTAATAATACAAAGTTATAAAAATAGATACAAAGATTAAATATAAATCAAACACAATAAAAATGCCAATGCAAGTTAACATTGAATCTACGTATATAAAATTTATTATCTGAAGATATAAATTAAGAAAATGTAAATGTTTCAACCTTTAGTTTTGAATCCTCTTTAATACAATCATTAAACAGTAATTACATACGTCGAGTTAACTATAAAATTACTTTAGTAAAAAATCCGGTAAACTGTTGTCATATGGAGTGAAGTGCATAGTCAAATGGTAGAGATAATTAGGTGTTCAAAAATAAAATAATAGGTCATTAGAATATAAAACTATAGTCGCAGATTTGAGTTATCAAAGTTAATGTGATCAAATGTAGTGTCAAAATTAACCGACATATGGTGATGTATACATATAATGATATAAAGTTTAAAAAAATAGATATACAGATTAAACATATAAAAATTCCATGAATATTTAAAGCAAATTTTATACTAAGCACGGTGAAAGTAAAATTAATATATATACGTGGGTGTAAAATTTACATCAACACGGTATTACTGTATTGATGTTACATCCATCGGATCTTTAGATGCCACTTAATCGCAACGGTGAAAACTGAAAGCAAAGGAGTCCGAGTTTCATTGCTTTCCTGTGCGAATGAAAGTAGTGTGCCTATTTTATAATTAACGGGACGCATGACTTATTTATTGCTCCATTTTATTATGAGATGACTCAGCGGGAATGTTAAAATATTGCTGTAACATTTTTTTGTGCTTAAATCATGGGAGATAAGGAGATACTGATTATGTAATCATATTCGAATATGAACGCACAGTACATAGTATGTATTTTGAACAATTCGTTACGTAATACGTGCTCACCTATCAGCTTCCTTCATTGCTTTTGCAATCGTCTCGTTAATGGAGTAGAAACTTTGCGCGCGGGAGCAATCCACAATGTACCATCACGTGCAGACCAGTCTCTCTCCTGATTAAATAACGTACCATTCGGACAAAGAAACGAATCCTTATGGCTGCCGCGTTGGCAGATGTGATATGCTTGACAGTCGGTCTCAGGGTCGGCGTAATAATCTGATTGTTTCCATTCGTACATGAAGCGTGTTCACGGAACTCGGATAATCTCTTCCAGCTTCACCGGGAATTCCATCGTTATTCGACCACTGATAACGTAGATCTTCATAACTGTATCCACGTAAAATAACTGCTTGTATGGACGAACATATGAATATCCCTTGTGTGCTTATAAACAGAGTAACATGACAATTGTAAGCATGATACAATTCTGAACGAAATAAAATTTCCAAGTTTCAAAGTTTAAGTTTAATTTTTTTTTTATTTGATGCTTTTCAGTATCCTCCATACAATGAGATGAGGGATTACTAAACTTGAATCTTTAAAATTAGATATTTTATTTTATTTTATTTAGAATTCTACCGTGTTCGAAAATATACCATCTTGACCTAACTTAATTAACTTTTATAGAGTGAATTTTAGGAATAGATTCTTCAATTCACTTTTTAATCTAATATTTTTTTTAATATTAAAGCATATTTTTTTAACTGTAAGCTAAGATCTAATTAATATATTTTTTTTATATTAAGGTACTGATATTTTTAAACTATGAACTAAAATTTAATTAATGTTTCTTTAAAAAATATTACACTGACATATTTTAACTATAAATCAAGATATTTAATTAATGAATTTTCTTCTTTTCTAATTTTAAATTAGAATCGAAGTCAAAAAGAGGAGTAATCTTGTTGCATAATTTGAAGCGTAAATTTTATTTTATTTTATTGAAATTTAATGTTAATGACGAAACTGTGTACTTTCTATTAAGAATTTTAATATCTTTGCGCTATGAAAAGATTTAATACGTACTATACTACTTGCGAAGGTAATCATTATGACGAGTCCTAATTTAAATATCATGATCAAGTCTAATTTAATAGTTTCAACCAACAAGTCACTTCGGATTGTATTAAATCATGGAATATAAACTCGATCTTTATATAGTTCTCGAAATCAATTCAAGTATACGTTCCAAATTATTATTCTCTATGCAAATTAAGTTTTATTTAAAATAGCGTATCCGGCCTTCGATCGAAGATATAATAGCGAAGGTAATTAGTATTTCGGCAATTAAAAATTGTAAACAAAAAAGAACTTATTTTTTTCCCAAGGCATGCTGTGGCTAACGATATAACTTCCGATTAATAATCATCCAGAGTGTTGTGAATAAGAGAAACCAAAATAATAATCATCCAGAGGGAATAAAAGGTAGTTTTGTCAAATAAATAATTTGCGTGATGATTAATCTCTGCATTTTTTATTCGATCTGCATTAGAATGACGTCTTAATAACTTCACCGTCAGTTCTCTATAATCCTTCTCATTCTATTTTTATCCATAAATTCATTTTATAGTTATGTTTTTTTTTTTAAGGAAATTCCATTTATCGAACACATTTCCTATTTTCAAATTACAACAAAATCTAAACCGCGCGCGCTTATTCAGCGTTGATCGACGCATGTGTCTGATGACTCAGCAATATGGCGGAAGTCCACACAGCTGTGAACGTGAACAGCTGACTTGTAGTAGTATACTGTTATACACGATTCTGCGTAGTTTAATCGTTACATGGTTTTCTTTAGTTTTTGTGTAATTTTGAGATTTTACTTGTCAAAACGATGATTGGCGAATATCGATTGCTTTAATACATTCAGAAAGATGTCTAAGATGCAGCACACAATAGGGAGAAGTGTTCAACACGTATAACACGTGCAGTGTGTTCATTGAATACTTCTATAAACATTGAATTCCTTGCATTTCACTATAAATATTCTTTATAACATTGGAATCTACCTTACGACACTCGATTTTCTTCTGTTCATTACGCTTGTTTAACTATTATTTGTAGATATTGTAATTATACATATATTGATATAGATTTTATGAAAATGGAATCCTTTAAATTAAATAAAGGTTTTTTTGACTTGTGTGTAAATGTATCGGAAGGAGAGATAGATAATTTGAATGATATTTTATTGAGATTATATGAAAGTAAGTTAAATGTGAAAGTAAAAAATAAGAAGAATTGTTTAGAAATTAATTTTCGTTATATTTCTTATGAATTTATTTGACTTTAGTGGGTTATAGAACAGTGGCATTAAATCAAACTGTAAATGAAAGTGCCATGGATAGTGATAAAAAAAAGAAGGATGAAACTAAGCAAGTAACAAGTGTGGTACCCGATCCAATTGATGTTTCAAAACTGAATGAAAAATGGAAAGGAAAACTGAGTATACTTAATAGGCTAACATTTATTTGTTCAAGTTCTATAAAAGCGCACACATTGGTATAGCTTTACATTATAAAATTTGTATTGTGAAACCATTTATTTTGAAAGATAAAATAATTTAAATTTTGACATAATTTAAGTAAAGTATTGATATATTAACTTAAGTAAGTAGATGACCACAGTTACCTCAAAAATTTTATTCTGATGTAGGAAAATAAAAAATATTACTCAATATTTTTAAAATTAATTAATCTTATAATTCTCAGAGTAATTCTCAGAGTATAAATAATTTAAATTTATACATACTATTAAAAAATATAACTGTAAGAATAAAATTTATTTGGAATGTTTTGAGCACCTCACCTGCTTAAAGATTAAGACACATTTCTACTACAATATATCTATCAAAAACAAACATTTATATGAAGCTATGTTACATGATTTTCAAAATAAAAGGTTTATCTATTGAAATAATAAAATATGCTGTATTAAATGTAATTTTTTTATTATAGGCACAATGTCCAAATTTAAGAAAATATGATATATATGCTCTTGTCCCAACCAAGCAAGATATATTGGAGGTTAGTTATATATTTATTTATTTTTTATTTATATTGAACTTATCTCTTTTTTATTTTTTATTTTTAGTTTGCTTGTCAAACCATAAAAGTAGATCTCATTACGATAAAGCCAGAAATTTCTGGCATAAAAATAAATCGAAAAGTATATCGACAAGCAATAGCAAGAGATCTGTATTTTGAAATACAGTACGTAGATCTTTTGAGACCAGAAACACGTGTAGCAGCTCTTCATCGTGCTTATCAATTACAAATGAGCCGCGTAAGCATGGTCTGTATATAGTTATTATAATATGCTATTGACTACATATATGTAGATATTAAATTCTCATTTAAATCTATTTTACTTCATTGCGCATTGCTGTAGTAATAATGCAGTTTTAAATACGCTTATTTTATCAATATGTTAAATCAATCTATTTTTATGTACAGAATATAATCATATCCAGTGGTGCAAACAATAGGAATTTGATCAGGAGTCCTTACGATATCATAAATCTGTATCCTTTTTCTAATGTATAATGTACTGAATTTTATATAAAAATTTATTAATGAAATTATGCATAAAAGCGTTGTATAGACTATATTATCCATAATTAAATTCAATTTTTATTATGGCGCATAGTGGATCTGTGTTGGGTTTGAAACGAGATAAAATAAAATCAGTTATATTAAACGAATGTCAACTTTTTCTTTTAAAAGCAAGTAAGTCATCATAATTTATTAAATCCACATTTTACACAAGACTGAATCAGAAAGATTTATTATTTTATGTATTTCAGAAAAGCGGATATTTGGCAAGTCAGTGTTTACGATGGAGATTGCAAAAAAATCGGATGTAAATGAGGATGAAGAAACAGAAAAGAAACGAAGAAAAAAGTCTCTAAATTAGAAAAATTTAACTTTTATATTCTATTTAATAAAAATATATTCTATTAAATGTTTTTAACAGGCTAATAACATGTTTTTTTAAAATAAATTATATTTATATAAATATATATATTATCTAATTTCTATTTCATAATTCTTGTAAGTACAACAGTATCATTTATGCACATCGCGATTGTTTTTGCTGAGTATTCGATCGTTTTTTAGAATTGCACGAAATTTACCTGGAAGAGCCATCTATTAGTCTGTTTTGTACTTTTCTTATAAGACATTGTATGCATGCTTATCCTACTATTTGATAATGATAAAACGTTACAATATTAACAATATTAAACTATTAACAATATTAAATTATAACATTTGTTCTGGATTCTCATATTACGATTTATCTTTTTTAAATAACAAAAATTGTTTTGATAACTCATAATAATCTATCTTCCAATATGCTACTCTTACCGAGAATCGATATTACTGTAAAATAATAGGATTAAATTATAGAGTCAGTATTATTTCATATATTAACTATTTGTTTATTTAAAACATTATAGAATAAAAATAATGATATTTTTATAAATTAGTAAAATTCTTTTTAATAAGAAGTTAAATGAGCTTCAATCAACAGCTGATACAGCGGCTATGTTCATCTCGATTAGATAAACGACTATCACTATGAGTTCAAAAAAATATATATAAGGATTTTTTAATTATCATTATCTTAACTTTATTACATTTAATGTGATGCATTTTGGTGGCAATATATATTATCACAACAGCGTTATGGTCTTATTCAAGTAAATAATTATTTTTTCACAAAGTTAAATATAATACAATATCAACGCGAAGTTAATATAATGAAGTGATATAATTTGACGTGTGAATGCGAAGAACGTAACCAATTGCTTCTAAGTTTGAATAATTCGTGATAAATATCTCAGACAATTGCATTGCGATACCGATAACATGAAAGTTATTTTCTACCGTTACATTCTACCGTTTAATAGAAGCTGCTAACATCGACTCAGAGACGGTGGAGGATTCAATTTTGATTTAAGGACCAAACAGATCATGCGCCCGACGGCCGCGCGTTCAAATCGATCGTCCGTACATCATCTCAAGTCATCCTCGATCCCAAGCCCATCGACAACGTCGTCCATTTATCATCATCAACAGCAGCAGCAGCAGCAGCAGCAGCAACAGCAAATTCTGTATGCTCCCGTCAGTAGCCCAATGGTGACTCTTCAATCGTGTGGAACAGCACTTCATCCTTCGTGCGTTTATCCGAACGTTCAGTCTCACGTTATTTCACCGAATTCCACCCATTTACAACTTCAAGGTCTGAAAGATAGACTATAGTTCATATTCTAATCTCGTATATAAATCAGTTCCTTCTTTCTTTCTTCATTCTTCTCGATTATATTTCATAAAATAGTCTTTCAGTAATAAAACGGCATTGAAAGTAATACAAAAATCGCAAACTTTAATGATGTTATGTAAAACGAAAATGATAATTAAAATATTCTGCGCGAATGCAGGTAAAAACAATCGATGGCACACCAAGAACAAGCCGTCCCGCGGTCAACAATATTGTCAACAGCAGCAGCAGCAACAGCAACAGCAACAGCAACAGCAACAGCAACTTTCATACAATCCAAAACCTGTAGTACTTTTCGATCAACCACCTACCAGCGTTGCATCGATTCCTCCATCGACCACATCCTTTTTAGTAACATCATCCACGTTCACCCATGCTGGACCATTGCACAACGAGCATTACAGTAACAATTCTGGAGTGACACATCTATTACCGCAGCCCTTCAATTTTAAGCCGCCCGATATGCAGACTCTCTGTCTCATCCAAGATCGACAGAACATTCAGCAACAGCAACAGCAGCAGCAACAGCAGCAGCAGCAGCAGCAGCAGCAGCAGCAGCAACAGCATTCGATGCAGAATTCCTACTATAATATTTCGGCTACAAATACTTGCAGTCTGCAAACCGTCAACGCCAACTCGTCTTTCCCGCTTGCCAGCCTTAATCCTTATACCAACCTAGCTAGCTTCAACAACAATCAATTTCCAACAGTGCAGTCCTCTCCACTCTTCTCGAATCCACCTGTTGGTTTAATGCTTGCACCACCGCGAGGAGACAAGCCTTCGTCTACATTAGATTTCACACCGTTCAAGCATAACGCAGACAAGACATCGAATGCCTGCGAGTCTCAAGTCATTCCAACCGGTCAGAGCGAGAATGGCTGGCCTTCCCAGACCGAAACGTTTTCCAAAAACGACGCGCAAACTGTCACAGGAAATAACAGAAGCCTCGAGTCTGCCGAGTGTGCTTTGCAGAAATCTTTCTCTGTCGTCGCGAAGACGGACGAGGAACATTACTCTGATGAGTCTTCGAATAGCTTTGACTTCACCATCGAAGCCGAGAAAATGGTCTCTGCTCTGTGTAACACCACGTCTTCGAACGATTTAGGCAAGGAGGAATCGAAGTCTGGCAACAAGATTGATTCTATGTTGTTCAACGGTGCAGGCGACAATATGTCTAACAAGACGAACTGGTTTATAGATTTCTGCTCCGAGTACGAAAACAGAACGTCGATAGGCGTTCAAACGGACGATTCGAGCGTCGACAGATCGCAATATCCAGAGTTGATTCGAAAAACAGCTTACTGGGGATGCACTCAGGCTGAAAGTGTTCTCGATTCTGAAGATTTACAAACGGATTCTAAACGGAGCTGGTTAACTTGTCTGTCATCTGCCACCAGGACGGCGATCACGAAATCTTCAACTTGCATTCCGGTCTTTGCGGGGGATCGAGTTTTTGCCGACGATCTCATAAACGCTCTTCTACGCATTAGCAATGGATGGCTGAGCCTTGATAACTATTTGAATAAACAGCATTTTCCTAATTTGCTGGACAGATTAGATCCTGAGTTGATCGCGCGCTTTCAAACATGGGAAGAGAGCACGTGCGAATTACTGAAGCAAATAGTACGGACTTTTCAAAAGTTTGGAGAAAATAAAGAAATGATGGACCAGAAACGCAACATGACATCGTCATTTCCAGGCGACGTGTCACTTTATACGACCTACAATCTTTTCGTCCCACTGTTTTCGAGCTGTTTTTCTCAACAAAATCTTGGAAAATCTTCGCTGGAAAAACCATGCAGCGCGACATCGACATCGTTACCAACGAACAGTCTGCGTAATTTTCAATACAATTCCAACTGAGGAACAACAATCGACGAATCCTAAAGAAAGCAAATTGCGGAGCAAATGGACGATTACTGAGAATTTATCATCCATGATTAACACCACAAAGTCCATGCCGAACGTCTCTGTATGTCATTCCGACATCGGCAGTCTGGGAAGTCATAAACTTCGCACGAAAGACGCATTATCCAAGAAATTTAATTTCACTCAGAAATCACTGAACGCCGAATTCTGCCAGCTGAGAAACAAAGTAATGGAAAGCAGCGCGGACGCAACGAAAGATAGGAGACACGATTACACGCCGGAAGATAAGACATTAATCGATAACACCGAATCCATCCGATCTCAACAGTCAGCAACGAACACTCCTATGAACTACAGCGGACTGTATGCGCGGAATTGTTTATCCTTCACGTTTCCTTTATCCAGTCATTCAGACTCTTCATATTCTACTGCCAATTCAGGTGTTCCAACGTATAGAGTCAATTATCCCACTTTCGGGCCTTATCCTAGTACCGATATCAATTCGAGAAGCAGCAGTAACACCGAACAGGTTTACGGAGTTAAAAACGCAAATATCAATCCGGTTTATGTCAAATCGCAAACTGAACAACTAGAACTCCCGGCTGTACCTAGAAATAAAGTGATCCTGCTGAGTCAGATCGAACCAAGGACATTCGATAAGGAATCCGAGGAAATGGCAGCCAACTTGTCGGCCTGGTTCGCCAGCATGCGAAACGCACAGCCTCCAGCGGCTACGTCAACCTTTGAGGAGCCAAGGACGAACGAGAACTTGGCGCCGCGATTATTCATTCAGGAGATGCCCAAGTACTCGATGATTGTAGCCAAGCAACCGCAGTTTGACGCAAATCGGCAGTTCCAGGCGTTGCAAAATCTGCCGAACATCCAGAGCACACCTTGGGCCGCTGGCAACTTCATCGGCAATCGTTTCCACGTGCAACAAGCGCCCGAAGAGTATGATAGCTCTGAAGACGTGCGAGTGTATATGAAACCGGGTAGCTACAATGTTCCTAAGAAGAGACATCAAAGAAGATCTAATCGTCGATCAAGCAATAGTGCGTCTCGCAATGTACATCCGAGCAATCATCACAACGTGTGCGGTAATAATGGAAAAAGTGTATCGATACCAGCATCATCGACGCCTTTATCTCACGCGAACGCGACAACCTTGTCCACCAACATCGGCAATACCACGCTGATAAAGACTTCGTTCCCGCCAGCTTCGCAGTTACCCGTGCCTCTGTTCAATCTTGAGAGTTCACCTAGAATCTTGAAACGTACGGAATCTCTGTCGCAGGACACTCGTCAGGACGTCACCTGGAAAGCAGCGTGCGCCTCGGCTGAGATACTTCTTGAAGCCCTTAACATAAAGGATTGTGGTAATACGTCTAAAAACGTCGATTGCAACGATAGTAACAGCGATAAAGAAGATAAGAACGAAGATCCTGTTGAAGCATTAACAATCGTATCGCAGCAGAGTGATCCGAAATCGTTAAAGCATGATAACGTTGACTGTGCGTCTTCCTATGAAGCCTCAGAGGATGATTCGGAATCCACGTACAGATTGTCGCCTAGCATGAGTGTAGTTTCAGTGTCTCAGTCGCGCGAGGATGAGAATGGTAAAGAACTTTATAAAATAAATTTTTTAGATAATTCTGATGAAATTTTTTCTCAGAATTTTTCATAAACTTTTTAAATTATTTAAATTTCTAAATTTTTGAATAACTTTATGACTTTTTAGAAAATTTCTCAGTTTTTTACGAACATTTTTTTTTGTAAATTGGA